GTGATATTTATTTTGACATGAGGTTGTATGTCCTCCTTCACAGTCAAGGTCTGCAATGTGAAGAAGGGCTACCTGTGTGAGGTGATACACTGTACTGAATTAGTCATCCTCGCTGACTTACTCTTCATGAGATATCTGTGGCATTTGTGAGGCAGCTGGTCACTGACATTCCTCTTCATGCCTCCTTCTTCCACCCCCCCAACTCCACAATCTGGAGCCTGAAATGAGCATACTAGGTCAATGACATACAGGGCCCAGAGGGAGTACAATAGGATTTTTGCCTGTTCACTAATCTTCACTTGCTCAGTTGGTGTAGGAATAACCTGTCACCCCAAATAGAGGATTGATCCTGTTGACTATACAATATATGGACTTTTGGACAGTGGAGTCCTAGATTGATTTAATTATGTAAATATTTCAAGTTCTTCCCTCTGGGAGGTTCTTTTAATCTTTGACATAGTACATCTTTTATTTATTATTATTATTATTATTATTATTGTTGTTGTTGCTGTTGTTGTTTTTGCCCCTAGTAGGAATATTCTTCTCCATTTCTCCCACTACTTTTAAACAAACAATTTTTGCTTGAGCTATGTGGATGTTCTTGGATTTTTACTGGTCATCCTGTCTGGGTGAAATATTTTGGTCTTTATTATGAGTTTTATAGTTGATACTAGTTTATGAGTATCTTTATGATATCCTCTTCTGAAGAATTCTGCTGAATTTTCCACATTTTATTATATAATTCTACCCCCTTAGTGTTGTCATGAAGTCACCATTTGTTGCCACTCTGGGCCTTTACCTGGAAACACCAGTTATACTGTTAATTCTTCCATTAACTTCGTTTGGTACTATTGATAGAAAGACCGTAAGCTCTTTGGTCCCTTCACTCCCCAGCTGTGTGACACCAGGCAGCTGCTGAGCCTCTCTGCCAGTTTTCTCATCGGTACAGTAGGCTGTAACAGCAGCACCTGTACAGAGTTCATGTGAGCATGCAGTGAGATAATGCATGTTACACGCCCACAGTGCTTAGCACATCTAAGTGCCCAGCAAATGATTAGCATAAAGGTGAGCACAGGTGCTGTGAGAATATGCAGGTTGGGACACCAACCCAGCTTTGAATAGTGATCATGAAATATTCTCCCGGGGTTGTCCAGCCTCAGTGAATCAGGCAAGAGAAGAAAGGGAGGAAAGGGTGTTCCCCGAAGGCAAATGGCTTCAAGGTTTTCACTAGTGATGGGGCAGAAAACAGCAGGGGGATGAAATGGAAAGGTCAGCAGGGGGCAGATCATGGAGGGCTTGTTTTATCAGGTCCAGGGGCTCTGATTGCATTCCTGGGGAATGGGGAGCCGCGGAAGAATTTGTAAATCATGCTGGCGTGAGGAAACAGAATGCAGCAGGGTCCACCAGGAGACACTGCGACATATGAGGACAGGGAGTGCCTGGACAGTGACGAGGGCCAAGGGTCAAACAGACCCTGTGTTTCCATCACATGCTGGCCTTTTAAGTTCTAGGAAACTTGAAGTAAAACCAAAGAAGGGAAGAACTCAATACCCATTGATTCTCTATGAGAAAATGAATTAGATGGACTGCCATGTGCATGTCTAATGTGGAGAAAATCTGCTCAAGAAGTGAAAGGAGGTCGTCCCACATTTCCGCCTGGCACACTGTTTGAAGCCTGTTGTGTGTGTGCACTGCGAGCACAGATCTGCTGGCTTTGCAGGGAAAGCTCTACTATTCTCCACTTTCTTGTGATTACAAAATTACATCTTCACTTACAGTATGTTCTCGTTAGCCAATTTCCTCTTGATTAACTTTGTGTTTGGGGTTGCAAGTTTTCTTTTTGACTATTTTTTTCTAATTATTTTCTCACCAGTGGTTAGAGGTAGAAATAGAAATACATCAGAAAATGATTTATATGAAAAGGAGTTTTCTCTCCACCCCCATGTTAAGTAAATGCACATAAATGAGAAAAATGAAAACTGGCAACTAACTTTCATTTATTTGAATAGGCTCTAGTGTTTTGTTATGCCATTTGGAGGAAGAGTAATAGAAATAAATGAAATGTGTTGGAGTGATAGCCAGCTGGCTATCCGAGGTGAGTCTCAGCTTTGTGGAAGGAATAGAATTGTTTTTCTGTTATTTTGTTTGGAATTGCCTGACAACTAGAGAACATTTCTCTTGCCACAGTGCTGCAATATAAGTAAACACATACATTTCCAAGAAACAGATTGTTAGAGAGTTTCTTCGCATTGTTCAAATAAAGAACTTTTACTATATGCTCAAAGTGTTTGATTCTTAACCCCTTCAATAGAGCAGCCCCATGTTTCTTAGGCGTCACTGATGTTGAAGGCGGAGAGGAAAAGAGGAAGCTGGTGCTGGACTGTCCGCCTGTAGTAAAGCGAAAACAGGGCACCACATGAGGTGGTTGTTACTTGTCATTGGACAACAGGCAGCCAGAAGTATGATCCTAGAGAGAGAAGAATCATGTGAGGTGAGACCCACATTTGCCCTGGTGTTCTGCACGAGTACTTTTCCCTCCTTCTTCCTGGGGGGGAGCCCGAAGTAGCATGGGGGTCTCATATTCAGTGCTACCCAATGGGCTGGAATTGGTATGGCAGGGTACTGAGGAGGGGCGACCTATGCTAAGGGAACCCAGAAGCTGGAATGTGTGTATATATAAGGTGAGACCCAGCAGAGAGCAGCTGCTACCAGGTTTGGAAGAGAATGGCCATACCAGAGGTGTTGTAGTACTGAGAGAAATGGAGAGTTCTGGAGAGACTTTGATTTTGTGGAGCACCTTAGCCATTCTGCTGAGACACCAGAAAGACCACATCTTAGGAGTAAGGGTCATACCTTAGAGTAGGGCCATATGCTAGAACTACAGACAAAACTGAAATTGACCTGTCTTTATCAAATATAAAACCAAGCCTGACAGATTTAAGAGTATTTGCTAGTAATTTACCTGCCATCGGAATCAAACTGAATACCTTCTAATTGTCCACCTTATAATAGAAAAGAAGCTTGCAAAGAAGCAGGAAAATGTGACTCATATGTAAAATGAAAAGTAATCAACACACACACACACAATTCCTTTGAAGCTGTGTTGTCCTAGATCTTGGTCTCTAGCAACATTCTCCAGTGAAAGGAACCAGGGCTTTCTGGGGAAATGACTGCATCCAGAGAAGAGATGGCGTAGATACAGGATGAGCCCAGAACTTTCTTTTTAATGTCAAAAAGTAAGGAAATAAAAATAAGAGAAACATGATGGGGTGTGTTACAAAGATAAAGGAGCCAGCTTAAAGAGGGGCCACTGGCTAAATCTGAGGCAGCTTAAGCACCAAAATAATTAAGTCCAGTGATAAATGATAAGCTATTGAAAAAGCAGGATTTCTGTGTATCCATATTGATCATAAGCAGATAAACAGACAAATAATGGCCAATGCTAAGCAAGGTCCGACAGTGTGGAAGCAATGCTGGAGTTGGACAGTCAGCCTGTGGCGCCTGCCGCAGTCAAGTTTGGGTCAGGCAGGGATCACCGATGGATGCTAACGCTAGGGGGAAATTTTGCTGAGGGACAAGGTATTTTCATGGTCTTAATGTATCTCCCCATCGATTACTTATTAGTTGCAAGGGAAAAAATAATAATTTTCCATAGGAGAAATTAGACAAAACCTTGGCTGGGTGATCAAAATGAACACTGCCAAGGAGGGTCAGGTGAACTGTGTATGCTTTCAGCTGTGATACCTGGAGAGGAAAACATCACTTTCTGTGATGTTTTTTGGCTGATAATACATGACCTGAATTGAGTCATGAGGAAATGTTAGACAAGTCAAAAGGAAATGTTTTTTTCATACACAAAGGCGGGGAGGACTGTATTTTTCTAAAGTGTCAATGTAATAAAAGACAAAGGAAAGCTGTGTGTTTCAGATTGCTGGCCGTTAAGTGCAATACCTGACCTTGAACTGGATTCAGAGTTGGAGGAAAAGAACTGCTCTGGTGTGCATTGGGTTAATTGAAAATGCTGGTAGATTAAAATATTTTATCAGTATTAAATCTAAGCTTGATAACAACAGTATGGCTATTCAAGAATACGCGTGTTCTCAGGAAACACATTCAGAAGTGTTTAGATGTGAAGAGCTGTGATGTACGGAACTTCTCTTCACATGGCGCAGAAAAAAGCGTTGAGTGAACGTGTGTGTCTGGAGAAGGGGCGCGAATGACTAAGTGCATTCATTGGTCAACTGTGAATCGTAGGTGAGTTTGGCTAAAAGGTATATGGTATTCTCAGTACTGTTACTGTTATACAATTTTTCAATAAGCTTGAAGTTATTTCCGAACTTTAAATAAAAGCCGAGCAATAATGGGTGACTTAAAGAGAAAAGGAGGGTGAAAAAGGTACATGTGTTTCTTAACTGTCTCGGTGTGGTTTTTCTACCCTTTGGGTTGCCTCTGGTAAATAAACATTTAATCCTATCACGGTGTCTCTGTCATTCAGCAGGCAAAGGCATTTCTATATCTTTTGGCAAAGAAAGTAAATCTAGTGCAAGAAGAAATAATAAGACTGCGTTTCAAGTTGAAACCATTATATCATTTTGTGCCATGGAAGGATTTAGAACAAGGAGTCGTAGAGGTTCTAATCCCTCCTTTGATACTTGCTGGCTGAATGGTTGTGGGAAAGTTCTTTAACCTTTGGGAAGTTCAGCTGCTGCATTTTAAGATAATACTTAGCTATTCTCAACATCTTATGACTCAAATGAGAAAATGCATGTGAAAGTTCTTTGTAAATAATAATGGTTTCCTGCACAAACATTAAATTACTGTGAATAGTTGTGGTTAAAGATGAACAATGGCTTAGACTAAGGTAGAGATTTTCCTTAACTCCAGGGGCCCTTTCTTTTGAATGTCAAGATTAATTCTAGAAGAGGGATTCTTTCCCCATTAGAGCCTTTGTTCCTTCCCCTTGTCGTCTTCTTTCTCATTTCCTGCCGTTATTGTTCCAGGCAAAGCTTCAGTGACTGAGAGAGTTGTGGATTTCCTGAATTTCAAGAACAGTGAAGTAGGAAGTGAAGGACGGCGTAAGAAAGACAACATGTAAGTCAAACTCATGGTTTCATCCATTCTCACACCTCCCAAGGATCTGAAGTTCCTCAGAGTAGCTCCTGCTTTGCTCTGAGATTTTTGTGAGGCTCTGATGGATGGAGGGATCTTCCAAGCCTTTGAGGTGCCCCAGGTCAAAAATCAGGCAATGTTTTGGAGGGAAGAAGGACAGAAGAAGCCACCTTCCTAGGATATTTAGGAGGAGGAAGACAACCTGGGCCAGGGTGGTAGAAATTCATAAAACAAAGGGCACAGGAAATAATGTTGGCCTGAGTCACATAAATGACAGAAAAGGGTACTGCTAGACCTGAAGTCACATAAACCAGGATATTTAAAAGTTTAACATTTAAACTTGACATATGAAAGGAGGAAGGCCACCTGCATTAAGGAAAATGGCCTTATTGTAAGCCATTTTTCATATTTAAACAAAACTGTTAGTAATACTTTAATTTTATGGAAAAATTATTAGGAAAGGTTGTAAGGAGGCCTTGGAGAATCATTTGGAGGCCAGGCCTTTCCTTTTAATCTGGAATTGCTTTTGATTAAGACTCTTTATTCTGGAAGATTATAGTCCCACATGCTCTTTTCTGGAGTGGAGTAGCCTTGGCTGGTGCTGCGCAGTGTCGGTCTGAGATAAGATGAAGGGCATGCTCTAGAACACAGACCAGTAAACTGCTTCCTTTATTGAGAAAGTCTTGTGCCAAAAGTAAAAATAAGCCCTGACCAGGTGGCTCAGTTGTTGGAGCATGGTCCCTTGCACCAGAAGGTTGCAAGTTCGATCCTCAGGGCGCATATAGGTGGCATGTCTCTGTCTGTCTGTCTTTCTCTATTCCTCCCTCCCTAAAATCAATGAGCATATCCTTAGATGGGGATTTTTTTAAGTAAAAATCAGCTGAACTAAACAATATTTCTAGTGGATACTGGCACATAATTACTATTTTAAGTATGTATCTAAACAGCATGTCAATTAGTTTCGTTTGTTTTTAAGCTTGATAAGAATGGCATATTGTGTGAAGTATTCTGCAACTTGCATTTTTCACTCAGTTATGTTTTTAAAATTCACTTGTTGCATGCAGTGGTAGTAAATTAATTTTTAATGTTAAAGAAAATTCTGTTGTGAAAATCTATTACAGCTTGTCTCTTGCCCCATTTCCTTCCAACTTTTAGTATTCTGCTGTAGGTCTAGCAGATATAAAATAGCATATTATTGTGGTCTTAATTTGCATTTTCCTGATGAATACTGGCATGGAGTATCTGTCTATTATCTTTGGAACACAAGAGTTCATGACTTTAACGTAGAGAATTTTTTCCCATGTTTTCTTATATGGCTAGTACAGTGATGTTTCTGTTTTAATTTTTTTATTTTGTTTTTGGAAATATACTCTAACATAGCTCTTTTAACTCTGTGTTTGATCCATTTTTTTTTCATTTGGAGTGAAGTTTTTGTTGATTTGTGTTCTCAGTCAGGTTTTGTTTATTTCTTTTTTTCCTGCTGCTTTGGAAGTTATGTGCTTTATTTCTGTTCTTCTAATGGTTGTCCTAAAAGTATCCACACAGCAGTTTTAAAGTCAATCAGTTAAAGTATTTTGACCCTTTTTGAGGATAATACAAAATCCATAGGACACCCAGTGAGGACGGTCTGCTTCTGGGCTCATGTGTTGTTCTCAGTGTTGCAGTTCTGCTCTGTTTCCATTATTGTTTACAGATGGTGTCTGTTTAACTTTATTTGTATGTTTACAATATCTTGCTTCTCTTCCCTTCTTGCATCTTGTACCTTTCCTCTGGCAAGACTTGCCTTCAATTATTTTTTCCCTTTGGTGGTGACATCTCTCAAGTTTGATCTGTGTGGAAACATCTTTATTTCACTCCCAGAGTACTCAGTCGACAGTGGTTTCCACCCGGTACTGTGAACACGCTGTTGCACTGTCCCACGGCTTTCATTTTGCTCTTAGGAAATCTGAAGGCAGTCTTTCACTTGCTGTCTTTTGTTAGGTGATGGCTTATTTTGAGGTCTTTTATTTGTCATTGGGTTCTGCAGTTTCACTCCAGTGTTGATGTGCAAATTTCTGTTTGTTTATCCTGTTTATGTCTGCTGTGTTTCATGTATGTGTGGATTCATGTAATTCATCAGCTCTGACAATTTCTCACCAATAATACTTTGAATATTACCTCTCTTCCATTGTCTCTGTTGTCTCCTAGTGTTGATTAAATAGATGTTAGAACTTCACTTTTTATTCTCTTTTAATTTGTATTTGATATTTTCTTCCTTGCCTTTCTTTGTTTCATTCTGGGTAATTTCCTTCTTAAGATTTAGCTTCTAATTCAGTAATTTTCTCTTCAGCTGTGGGGAATCTTTTATTTCACCCATCCCTTGAGTTTTTAAATTTCAATTATTATATTTCTTCATTTCTAAAAGCTCTATTTCCACATCATATCTGCTTGAGTATTTTTGATGGTCCTTTTTGCTTATTCATTTTATTTACTTCATTTTTCATATCTTTAAACAACACCAAAGAGAGTTACTTTATATTCTGTATTTGATAACGCTGGTATCTGAAATCCTTGGTGATCTGAATCAGTGCTTACAGCTTGTTTCCGAGAGTGTGGTTTTGATGATGTGCTAATATTTGTGAGCTAACCCTATCTTGGAATCTTTTTGAAACTGGTGTGTGTTTGTACTAGGAGGCAGGAGGATGCTACAGACCCGGGACCACTTTTGTTCTCTCTGGGAATCCTGGTGTCAGGTTGGGCTTTCCCCACACTGCCGGAAGCTGATGGTCTCGGCACCTGTCCCATCGCCCGTGTTTGTAGCTGCCTCCTGGGCAACTGCTGTTTTCCTCTGCACTCAGGTTTCAGGGCACTGTTCCTGCCGTGTCCTCCTGGGGTTTGTTTCTCTACCTGGAGCTTAACCAATGCATTAAGAAGTATTGTTTTAAAATAATTTATTCAGAATCTAATTATAATGTAGCAGAAGGGCCCTGCAAATATATAGTTGACCACAATTCCTAAATTATTAGTACCCAAACAATATTTTAAAATCAGTTTTTTTCCCTGCACATATCCTTTATGAATTTTCTTGAACCTTTTAAATTTTACATAATAAATTACCTAGGGGTAATTTATTTCATCTAGGGATAGGAAAATAGTGAAGTAGTGATTTATTTGAAAGCCAGCTAAACCACATCTGTACTCATATCTCATACTATAGCCTTATACTTTTGCTTGTTTTTTTCTTTCTTTCTTTTTTTAGTTAATCTATTGAGAGTTTACTTCCTTGGAAGTTGGAACCCCTACTTTTGGAATAACTTGCAAGAACAGAGTTCTTACTCAGCACCCCTTTGTTATGCTTTCCCATCTGTTTTCTTTTAAAATGTCATTTCTCTTTCTATCCTGAACACTGGATATAAAAGATTCAGTCATGGCTCTATGCCTGTGGATGCTTCTCTTTCTCCGTGGAGTGTAGAAATTGATGTTTGCTGTTGTCAATTAGAGGCATCTTGTCTGTAAACTCCATGTCCTTACATTCTACATCCCCTTAAGAGATGTAGAAAACAGCATAAAGTTCTTGGTCTATAAAATGTTAAATTGACTTTGACTTTGGCACATAAAAAAATTTGTTACTTCAAAACGGATGTCAGTGAGGTTGCTGATTTCCTAGTTTATTCATTCTGCAGGAGAATGCCATACCTTTTCAGAGGCTGCACAGACATGGCAGGCGAGTGTGTATATGTGGATTAGGATTTTGTGAAGATGATATGTTAGGAATGTGTCCAATCTGCAAAATTTTTATTCTTTGTAGATTACAGGTAGCATTCTTATAATACTAGTGTAATCATAGAAAAGGCGGGCACTGAACACATTCCCAGGAAATGTTGAGCTCTGTGGCTATCTGATATCTTCTGAGGGGCTGCCTGCTACTGACCCTGTACTTTCACTTGGAAAAATGTAAGTATCACGCAATTTTGTGGCTTTTTCCCCTTGGATATCAAATTCTAAGCAGTGGTTACTAACTCTGTGTTCTCATCTCCTGAGTTATGGTTGGCTGTCAGGTCAGGCAGTGCTGCTGCTATTTTGGTTTGGCTTGCTGAGCACTCCACCTGGAAAGGAGGTGGACCAGCCTTGGAGAAGCTCACCAGGGAAGGCCAGTGCTTCTGAGGAACCCCTGCGCAGCCTTCTGGGCTGAGGAACCGCGTTCACAAGTGTGCACCGCTTGGGTGTAGGGAGAGGAATCTCAACTGCCACTGCCCCCAGTTTGGTTGCCCTGGGCCGGGCAGTTCATCTGGTGGAGCAGTAACTGGCCATTATAGCCTCTGTTGTACCTCTTTTACTGTAAATATGTGTTTCTTTGAAAATTCTGCATCATTTTAACACAGTTCACCTGAGAAAAAGAACCTGAGTGCAGTTGCTTTTCTGCTACAAAATTGTGACTCTGGTCATATCAAAATGATGCAGAGAGACAGCCCAAGAATGCAGTCTTTCGGATGTCCTTTTCATTTAGTGTGGTAAAAACCGGGGCTTGACAGTCAGTGTCAAGGCGAGTGACATAAATCAGAGTTTGGTCACCAGGCCCCGCTGTGTGACTCAGAGCAGTGCATAGCTGCACACGCTCCCTGTGTCTCCTGGGCTTTAGTCCTAATCACGCTTCTCTAGACCGAGGACGGGTCACTCATCGCTCTGTGACTTGGCACTGGGACACCTGGCCATTCATAACGTTTTCCTCCTTTCTCACATGAGGTAATGAAGTGTATATTTCTAAATAAGGTTTTGAAGAATAATATTACTTTAAATGCTTTCTTCTCCAACTTGTCTTCCCTCCTGCTCACCCAGTTTACCTCTGCATGCTTGTCGTCGTACTCTTTGTTTGATGCCTGCAAAATGCCCACAGAATCATTTTTTCTGGCTTGGCTTTAATTAGAGTGTTTGGGGGCTGGCGGGAAAGCATAGGGGGAGCCTTATTAGGTTCATCAGTAGCCAAATGCCCTGGCTTTAAGTTG